GGGCAACCAGCTGAGATGGGGCAGCCCCGGAACCTCCACCTCCGCCACCCGCCGCCGCCGCCGCTCCCCCGGAGAGCCAGGCGGACAGCAGGCAGCCCTTCTCTTCCGCTTCCGGGTGATTTAACCCCGGAAGTGCTCCTTGTCGAGGAAAGCCACTCATATTCTCCCGCCCGCTGCCCATTCCTCTGCCCCTCCCGGCCCCCGGAGACAACCCCCCAGCTCTGGCCCAAGTGGCGGCAACGGCAACCTCCTCCTCACCGGAAAAGGGAGCAAGAAATCACTTCCGAGTTGAGGAGGTGGTGTTTGAGTTAATACTTCCGGGGTATTTCTGCGGAGGGTTGAGTTGCTTGTCAGCTTGCCGGAAGCGACGTGGTTTCTGGCCACCTTTAAGGGGGAGCGGATTTCTCACTTTCCTGGATTGATTGTTTGGTCTAAATATGAAGTAGGATCAATATATAGAGGCGAGGTAGAAATAGAGGTGCTTCCGTGGGCAGCTTCGTCAAGTATAGTTTAGCTCTTCCTCTTAATATTCTCTCATGCCAAAAGAAAAGTAAGTTTGTTACGCCTCCACCCTTCAAAGAAATAGGGGACAAAACCATGCTGGTCAAAATTCTAGTTGTTTTCCTATTTCCTGGCCAGTAATTTTGTTGGACTAGTTGACAATACTGGAATGTGTTTTTTAAGTACTATTTTTAAATTATTGACATTTAATGCAATTAAATAGCATTGAGTATTTACACTCACTTATTAAATTTTTATCCTGCCTTTATAAGTTATCCCGCGGATGGATGGACGGACAGACAGACAGACAGATAGATATAGTTATTTGGTGTTGAATCCATTATTACTATATACATTTAAACCCTTTATTAAATAACAGTAGTAACTAAAGACAATAATAGAAGGTTGTCATTCTTCAGATGGTAGTTGCTCTTGCTATGTCTAGTCCATCTGCTGCTACCTGAAGGTTACATGCAGATCATACTTTTCTTCCACCACCCTAGTGTGTAATATACCATCCAAGAACAGGTTGCCCAATTTTGTTTCTTTGGGGTTAGGATGTACAGTAGAAGCAACTGAACAATCTACAGTTCTAGATTTTTTTCACTGACAAGTGGATTTGGACAGTATGGAGTGGAAAATATTAACTCTGAAAGGAATACATGGTTCCTCTATTTGCTTGGCTGCAAAATTCATTGCTACTGAACTCTGTGAGCCTTACCATCACTTGTGCATGGAGTCACCATTATTGCTTTGCAAGACTGTATTTGCCCAGTTGTGCATCTCAGTGGAATGATACCTTCTGACCACTACTGATGATCACCATTTTATAGTGCTAAAACAGGAATGGAGTGGAAGGCAGGGTGTGGAGCTTTTGGCATCATCATATAAGGATCTTTTCTCTAGATTAGAAGAAGCAGTTTATTTAATATACTGTCTATGTTATATACTATACTAAAGTCTAACTTTTCCAGCAGTCTTCTTCCCAATAGTGGCCAGCCAGATGTTTTTAAGACTATTTTTGTTTCATAAGCAGAGAATGAAGGCAACACACCTGATCTTTATTTTGTCTCCAATATATTGGAAGTTTCAGAGTTTGAAGATTAGATTATATAAAAGTAGCAACCACCAATCCTTACATAGCCAAACTAGCACCACCCATATAAGAAATTGCAGGCTTGCAGGAGACTTGATGTTTGTAGAAATTCAGAAAACTATACAAAAGAGCTCAGTGAACATGGAATACTGATTGACCACAACCAAAACAGTGACACTACCACCTTCATGCTTGACAGTTGGTATGAGTTTCTCATTGTGGAATGTGGTGTTTGGTTGCTGTTAGACAGAAATCCATGTAGCTTAAAATGTTCCACTCTTGACTCACTTATCAACATTCCTCCAGAAATCTGAAGGGCTGTTTCATTTCCCCCCGCCCCAGGGGCAGGGGGAGGGGGCAAACTTGAGGCAAACATCAATGAGCAATGGCTTCTGGCTTACTCCTGTCTCATGAATTCCTTTTTTACTCAGTCATTTTTGAAGTTGAAGTCATGAATGATGATTTTTGCCAAGGCAAGAGAGGCTTACATATATCTGAACATTCTTTGTGACTTCATGGGCAATTTTTGTGCTGTGTTCTTGGAGTGATTTCAACAGGATGATCATTCTTGTGAAGAGTCGGTATTGTTCCAAATTATCTCCATTTTAGTACTATGTGTCTGACTGGATTTGTGGAGCCCCAGACCTTTAGAAATTGTTTGTAACCTTTACCAGACTGATAGGCATATGTGACATTTTACAGAAGCCCTCAACAATTTCTTTGGAGTTGGGCACAATGTGCCTCTAAAATATATGTGATGAGAACTTCACCATATGAGGAGAGCCAAAGATTTAAGTTATATATTGGCTATGCTCCTCAAATCAACCCTGGTTGTTTAATGAACTACTCATACAACTGGCCCTAGTTTTTTCTTTAACTGACTTGATTGGAGGGGAGGTGGATTTCTTTCATGCACATTGAATTACTTTTTAAAATTAATAAAATAAGCACCAAACTTTGGTGTCAATTGTTCATCCCAGACTCCCTCTGTATATCGTTGGACATGCATGAAGTTTTGATAACATTCAGTGGCAAAGAGATGTTGAAATTCAGAAAATCCAAAAGGGTACAAATACTTTTTCATAAAAGCTAGGGGCTATGACTACACTTATGGCAGTAAATTCCATGTGTTGTGAGAAGAAAACTCTTAATGTCCTGATAAAGATTTCTGGTTCTCTCTGGAAATAAAAATAGGTTCTGCTATACATTTTGCAGATTTCCTCAGGTTATCATTGTAATGACCTTTTTCTGATTTTAAACTCCCATGCGTGAGGTGAATATCAAAAGGAGAGAAAAGTTTAAACCTCCCCTTTCCAACCTAGTGGTTCTGATCCATATTAGGACTCCTTACATTTACTTCTAAAAAAAGGTAGAGAGGCAGCTGCCCTGTATGGATTAACATTTTGGCCCTGATTAAGTGCACATTCCATAACAATAGATATTGCACATAGAAGCCACTAGATGGTGACATTTATACAATGATAAAATCCTTAAATATAAATAACTGTGCAAGTCCTCTTTGACAAAGTAGTGAGAAGGGGCTTGCCTCCACTCCAGTGGCAGTTTATTTCATAACATAGGCCATGCTACTGAAAAAGTAGATTTGTTGATGCTTAACATTGCACCAAGTGCAGGTTCTACTAGTGATGTGTTTAAAAGTACAGGACAAACTGTGGAAATAGGCAGTTCTGCTAATACCTTGGGCCTAAGCCATATTAGATTTTCAACACTATTCTGAGTATTTTAGTTGCATTTGGAAATAAATAGTAATCAATGGATCTGCTTCAGCACAGAAGCTATGAAGGATCTTGAAAAGGTGCCCCCCACTAGCTGCAGAACAGTTTTCTGGGCCAATTTCAATTACTATACCACCTTCAAACATCTGCATGCAATTATCACTAGTGTTTTTGATCCTCACCTGAACAATAACAACTTCCTAATTCTAAGTATAGTCCCCTGGAATCAGCAACAACTCTGCCTTCTCCAGCTACAGTTTCAATTTCTTCTCCCAAGGGCAAAACATTAGAGCTCAGAGACAGAGATTCTTGAGGCATCCAACCATGAGCTTGTTGGAAGAGTACTTTGAATATTCAGACACCAAAGACTACCTGAACTCCGTATTTGATTGGAATATAACTTCTGCAGTCTTGCCCAGCAAATGACATTTTCTAATGATCATGATGGGTAATGAGCTTAATGAGTATATGATGAATACTCAGTCTAATTAATGAAGTACATATAATCGATCTGAATGCAGAGATACATGGAAATGCAACAGCAGGTTAAGGTGGATTAAAAAGATGTACTAGAAACCAGGAAAAGATCAAAGCATGGCTGATAGATAAAAGTACCAATAATTAGGATGTGAACTTCCATGGTCAAGGATGGCCCAAGAACAGCCAGAGTCCTGCATAAATTGTCTTCTAAATTGTAGCAATATTTCCTGACAAGATTGATGATAGTTGGTCAGAGTCCAACAATAATAGGAGACAAGTCCAACACTAAAATAGGAGATGAAGAGGAGCTCTGTATGTAAGCTGTGAGAACAGTGTGAATTGTGTAAGGGCTAGGGTTTACTGCATTTTGCGCATATCGATCATCTATTGGAGCTGAATCCTAGCAGTGGTATGGAACAGCCAAGAATGTGTAAGAGTGTACATGTGGTGTGTAAGAGTTTTTTTTTTTCTCTTTTATAGCTAGCTATTTCATTTGCTGCTGTTTGGCTGTTACTGCTATTGCTGTTGCTTCCACTTTGGGAAATCTTTCTGAAATCAAAGATCTACAAGACAGTTTGGTTAATTATCTGATTACTAATTTGGATAACTTCTTTGCTTATATTGGTTGATCAGCAATGTGTACCTCTAATTAATTGTGCTGGAACTGAGAAATTTAATAAAGGGACAATTGTTTCAAGCTATGATATAATAAACCTATACAATTACTGTACTGTGATTCTGTGCATAGAGGACAAAGGTCCTGAGAACAAAGGAAATAATGGCTTCAAATAATGTCAAATAATACAGGAGACAGGATGGAACTTTGTGGATGCCAGATTTCAAGTTATTAATTCAAAAGATATTGTTATAAACAGTATGACCAAGCTAATGACAACAGATAGAACAATCAGCCTTAGAATTGACAATGAAAATATTGAAATGGTGGATAAGCTTCTGCCTTTTAAGATCAACCATCAACAGTAAAGGAACAAGC